TGCAGTTGAGAAACACTGAGTTGAAGTGACCTCTCAGAGTGGGGATTTGAAGCTGGGTCAGCAGGAGAAAATGCAGTTCTTGCTTCTCACTGCATTCCGAGTGAACCATGGTGAGTAAAAAAAACAATGCAGAAGGCAGACCCTAGTTCAAAAGTTTTTAAAGATAAGCATTGCTGCAGCCATTTCCGCCCCAGTCTTTGGTGAATGCTGAGAATCAACAGCTTTGCACTGCTGTGTCTTGTTCAGTTCTTCCCAGAGGACTGAATCTTGTATTTTCCATCTCCAGTGGGGACCATCACTGGGGGAAATGGTTACCTGTGTGTGTGTGTGGGGGGTGTTAATCCCATCCTTGATTCAAAGGCACTTACAGGGTTCTTCCCCATTTTATCTTAACAACAACCCTGTGAGGTAAGCTGGAAGGGGGATCAGCCCCAAATTACTAAATTATCACGCTCATCACTGGCTATAAGGGTTCAGGCTGGTGGCAGAGGCAAGACATTTGCCTCTGGACAGCCACAGTTCTGCTCTTCTGGGGTACAGTCGTTTAAAGAGGAACCCGTGAGTTGTGTTGTACTACTGCACCCCTTGTCCGCAGCCACTAGCTAAAGTGATGGGAGTTGCCCTCCAAAGTGCCTGGAGGGCGCCAGCTTGGGAAAGGACCAAGGGGACACCGACAGCGCCGCACTCACAGACCTAACTGGCGCGCTCTTCCCCCTTCTCGCCGCCCGATTGGATAACAGCGACTTTCAAGCGGCCCAATTGAAAACGAGGAATTCGAAGGCAGGGTCAGCGTTCTTGCGCGGGGAGAGGAGAAGATATTTTGTCCCGCCCAGGCTTGGCTTGAGAAGTTGTCCTTCTCTCACACACACAGCGTCAATCAATCGCCTCCAAGAATGAGGCGAAATGATATACTATCCCTCATCCTTTTCCCCGCCCAGGCCCCAGCCCTGCCTCTTCATTGGAGATTTGGTCAGTACTGCCCGCCTCCTCCGGTTTACCGCGTGAAGATTCGAAAACCTTTTCAAGGAGTGGATTGGCTACGGTCTCAAACGAGGGGCGGAGTTCGAAATGTGGCGCGCGGTGCGAATGTAGCGAGAGGGAAAGAGGAGGGGGCTGTTCTTGGATCCGCTGCCGCTGCCCCCCCAGGTGAGAATGCGATTTGGAGTTTCTGGGTATTGTGATGTCATAGCCAGGAATGCCAGGACGGACTGTTCTAGTTAAGCGCGAGCGACTTTTCTCCCATTGATCGCTATTGCTCCCTACCATTGTGACGTCATGGAGAGGGACTGAGTTACTTTTGTGCGCGGTGACATCACAGCTTCCACCCCAACCTTCTGCATGCTGTGGAGTATTTTCGGGAATAGCAGCTCATCTCTGGCCGAAATCTGTATTTGGCATTCTTGGCCAGCTGAGGTCTGAATTTGGATCACTCCCGTAAAAAAACCAGCTTGGTGCTCGCAGCGTACCAAGGCAACTGCCATTGGCTGTATCTGCGTTTGCTATCTGGCCTTTCCGCATGAACAAATTAATTGCATTGATTAATTAATTGCATTGATGCCTTATCTTTCTTCTGGGACCTCTTGGAGATATTCCATTGGGCTTCCCTAGTTTTATTCCCACAACTCATGTTCCAGTATGGTTTACTAATTATATTCAGCAGACTGATAGGCTGATCATTAGCAGAAATATGCCTTTTACCTTTTTTTATAAATTGGGATTATGGCTCAACATTTTGATCAATGTTTGTAAATACCGATGCTAATGTTGGAATCCACCAATCCAAATTACTAGGGATAAATTATGTGGTCACAAAATCATTGCCAGAGGTGTGGTTTCTTGCCCATATAAACCTGAAAATACTCTTCCCGTTCCCCAGGAAGATTGGGGCATAAGGATTCTTGCCCCTTATTCTTTCAACAACAATCCTGCAAGGTGGGCTGGGCTGAGAAAAAGTGGCTGTCCCAAAGCTGTCCACTAGGCTCTGCGGGCTTGTGCAGAGTTCCCCAAACCTAATAACTTCCTGATGTGTGGACTTCAGTTCCCAGAATTCCCAGCCACCATAGGCATGGCTGATAATCCTGGGAGTTGGTTGAGGCATCTGGAATTTGCCATGATTGAGAATTGTTATTTGCTTTGCCAGGCGCTATGTGGCGTTCCCCGCCAGCTGGACCCAGTTCCAGAAGAACCCCCTCGACCCCTCTTTCCCGCCGTGGCCGACCTGGAGGTTCTCCACGCAGGAGGGCACCCCTGCAATCCCCTCCCCGTCGTTCTGCACGGAGGCACCCCCCCGAAGAAGCAGCTGGTAAGAAACATGACTGGAGCAAAAAGAAATTGAAAAAAGTCTCACTTTGCGTGATACATGTTCCAAGTAACAGTCCCTCCCCTCTGTTCTTCTTAAGTGATGATTGGCAGAATTCTGCCCTTTTTAAAAAAAAGTTCCCGGTGGGGCAGAAACAGGGGGCAGTTTAAACTCATGAAAGTCAACCAAGGCTTATCTTCTAACATTTTGTGAATCTGCAAATAAAAAGGTTGACTTTTGAGGGAACCACCAGCTTGTGAACATTGATATATTTGACAGACCTTGATGAAGGAGTTGGATGTTGTTGGCAGCCAGACTTGTCATGTTTTACTGTCATTGCATTTAGGGAAAATTGGTTGAAGGTCATCATGATGACATACCTGACAAGCTTCTTGATATGGTGGATTGCTTATTAAACCACTGTCTGGATCAGTGTTTCTCAACCTTGGCAGCTTGAAGATGTGTGGACCTCAACTCCCAGGATTCCCC